ACCTGATCCCTTCGACACCTCGTGGTTGCATAGGCTGGTGTGCTTCCTCCACGTGGGCCCCACTGCCTCTGAGCTTGATGGCTGCTTGATTACCCTCAAGCCTCATACAAAGGGATTTTCTCCTTATGAATTTATGTTCAGAAAGCCACCCCCATTGTTCCCAAAACTACAAGATGATTACTGAGCTGAAATTCTTAACCCTAATTTACTTAAGTCATTACAGGCCCTGCAGGCAACCCAACAGCAGCTTTCCAAGTCTCTCCGGTACACTGGTCTCCAGTCTCCATTAGATGTCACCCGTCTCGCATCTCATGCATTCCAACCCGGAGATGCAGTGTTACTAACGCATTTCTCAGCACCAGGACTTTTTCCTCGCTGGAAAGGGCCATACACTGTCATCCTCATCACTCTGCTGGCAGTCAAGGTCAATGGACTATCTGCCTGGATACACCACTCTCAACTCAAAGCCCCCACCAGACACCCAGTGGAGGATCTCTTCCTCCTCAGAAGATCCTCTAATGCTGAGACTGCCACACCGGCCATGCTCTTAATTTTGCTTAACATGTGTAAAAATCCATGCTACACACCCCGCACTGCGCCCTCCCCACTACCAGTGGGTCCTCAATGAAGGTTCATATGGTTCTTTGGTGGTCAACAAAGCTGACAACTCCCTGACCAAAGCATAATACTTAATGTAACTAAAGAATATATTCAGACCACCCCCATCTCCTTACAGTTTGACCTCTGGAAACATTTAAGCCCCCAAAGCCTTTTGGTGTCTATATGCCTCAGACTCAGTACCCTCCCAGTGCACTGTACCCTGCAGGCTTTACCTCGGGGTGGGAATGTGGACGTTTAGGTGGGGAAAAAAAACTCTGGGAAAAGAGTCTTTACATGTGTCTGGGATCTACCAGACAGGTTTACCATACTTGCCTGTCCCAAACCTGGTACTTGTGTCCAAAGTGAGGCTGTGAAACTGTCTCCACCATTACTGGTTGCCTTCAGCAAAATGACCATTTGATAACCCTCTTTAGGCTTCCTTCTCCATGAGATTGCAGGGATCTTGTAATCCTATCAGCATACTATTAAGTGCCCTGACCGTCAATGGGACGCTGGGGTATGAGATTATTCCTTGTTGAACCAGACCCAGGGGTGTTCTTTACCATCTAAAGAATACGGTCCACCTACCCACGGGTCCCCATAGGTCCTCTGAAGCCCCAATACCACCACAACCTTTCCCCACAATCTGTCCCAGATGCCATCCTGTGTAATTGTCCCAACCTCGCAGCCCATTGCATCCCCACCAGGGCCAAGCTCTTCCCTGGGCCTCAACTCATCACATTCTCAACCAATCTAACCCCAAATTCAGCACCAGTTGTTGGCTTTACCTTAATCTTCAATCCCCCCCCCCCCACACACACACTTTTACATTGGACTGGCCTTCCCTTCGTCGTCCAGCACCATAACTATGGCTTGTTCTTTTAACTTCCTTCATCTTACACTGGGAGATTTGCAGGATTCGGGATGTTACCCCATGTACACGTCTACTCAGTTCCCTTATTCAGCTTACTGTGGTAGTACTACAATTATAGCCTATAACAAAACAATTATCTTTTATCACATTCCAGGCACCTCCTGGTTTGCCTGCACTTTCAGACAAACCAGATATTTTTCTTCCTACCAATTCAAGGCTTCTATTTCTACTCTATGCACCATAGTTTGTACTCTTCCCCGAGTCTCAGTATATGATGGTCAGCAAGGCCTCTCAGTCTAATGCCCACTCCAGACTCTTCCCTAACATGTTGGAAGAGTCACTCATAATAATTCCCCTTCTGGTAGGATTAGGAATAGCCGGCTTAACTGCCAAAGGTATTGCAGCCCTCATTAATGATCTTAAGCTGATGGTGCCCAGATATCAAAAGATATAGCATCTGGGGCCTTAAAGGCTTAAAGATAAACAAGCAGCCATCTAGCTCAGAAGCAACAAAGTCCACATGGAAGAAGCACACTAGCCTGTGTGATCATGAGGTATCGATGGGATCAGGTATCAGGCATCCAAGACCCAGAATAAAACCATACCCAAGGTGAATGGTGGGGTGGGGGCATGGAGTGGAGACCCAATGTCCATCCGTAGACAATTGGACATCCCCTCACAGAGGGGTCACAGGGAAGAGATGAGCCAGTCAGGGTCAGTATAGCACCAGTGAAACACACAACTTTCCTCTACCTTTTTAGTGCTCCTTCTCCCCACTATCATGACCTCAATTCTACCTTACAGATAGGATTAGACCAGAGCATGCAACTGCTACAGTTAAGAGCCGGGAACACAGGGAATCCAGGATAGATAAACCCCTCAGGGTCAACAAGGAGAGTATACCAGGAGGATTGGGGGGGGGGGGCAGAAAGGGGGAAACGATCCAAAGGATCAACCTAGAATCCCTTCCCAGGGGGATGAATAATGGAAAAGTGGGTGAGGGGGGATGGAGGAGGATGTAAGATATGGAAAAATAGTCTATAACTTATGAAGGGTTTGTGAGGGAGGGCGGGCAGAGGAGGGAGGGGCAAGAAATGGGGAGCTGATATCAGGCACTCAAATGGTAAGACAATGCTTTGAAAATGATGATGGCAGCATATGTGTAAATATGCTTGACACATTGAAGGAATGTGTGGATTGTGATAAGAGATGTAAGAGCCCCCAATAAAAGTATTTTTTTTAAATGATCTTAAGTTTAGGGAGTTCTCCCAAAGTATAAATGTGGACATAAGTCACTTAAAGCACTCCATAGACCAGCTCTCGGACCAAGTGGAATCACTAGCTGAAGTGGCTTTTCCCAAACTGCAGAGGGTTGGACCTCTTGTTCTTAAAGCAAGGGCTGTGTGCAGCTTTAGGAGAAGAGTCTGTTTTTATGCCCAAAAAATGGCATTGTAAAGGAGAGTTTGTCCCTAGTTAGAAAGAATGTAGAAAAACATTTAAAAAACCAACTCTCAAATCCAGTGATGGGTGATAGCAAAGATTGTTTGAAAGGTCCGCCTGGGTCACAACCCTGTTAACCAGCTCAGCTGGACCCTTAGTCCTTGTTTTACTCACCCACATGGTCAGGCTATGCAACCTTAACTCTCTCCTCCGCACCTGCATGGATTCTGTTAAGCTATGGTTCTCCATACTTAGTATACCCCTCTAGAAAATCCTTCAGGACATCTAGACACTCCCTTTTGACAGAATAAATTATTTGATTCTCCATATGACCAGTGGGGAATGTTCCCACTTGCCCCAATATTCTGACCTACCCCCCAGAGAAGTGTAGGTAATGCCATCTTGCCTGAAGGCCGTGTCCCCTATAGCTCACTGCCCTATTGGTAGTTTGCTAAATCAATCTATCCTGGTACTTTTCCAAATCTAAGTGTGTAGCCTTCAGATAACTCTCCACCCCCACACTATTCCAGGATGTTATTCTAAATTTTATTCTCTGATATTATGTATGTACCCCCACTCTGCTTCGGGATGTTATGTAGATTCATGCTTCTTTTAGCTTCTGGAATCAGCTTGGTTAAATAGAGTAGAATGTCTGTACTCCAAAGCTTGGAAAACAGGATGCAGCTGGAGTCCTGGGTCTTGTAGTTTGAAAAACGGGATACGCTTTTTGCCTATATATACACCCTGCCTAAGTACTATTCAGGACCCTGGGGTTTTAAGTGACACTAGTCCTCCTGTGGTCGCTGACTTAATAAAGACTCCTTATTTGGATTCGCAGCAGTATAGTGGTCTTTTATCTCTTGCAACATGTAACACCACAGACTTCGTATCCATGTGACTCTGCACCCACTGACCCGTGATCTCTCTGCTTCCTGCTTCTTTTCTGTGCCATTGACCTGATGCTATGTGAGTCGGGAGAGGGCTACAGCTACCATCAGACCCATGGATTTAAGTTGGACTTGGTTTAGATTCCTTCTTGGTATAAAATTAGTTATTGATATAAAGTTCTTTCTTATACTTATAAATGTCACTGGTTTTGTTTCTCTAAACAAAACAACCTACTACAAGTAGTGAAGGAAATTTCAAAAAAAGAGAATATGTCCAAAGAAGTTAAATACAGGATCTACACAAGAAATAAAATATAGTAATAATAATTACTTATAACATAAATTTTTAAGTTTCAAATGTTCTTGGATGAAATTCTAGTTATATGAATTCCTTACATGTAACTCAGTTCCATGCAAATCCCATGAATTATAAAATGTCCATCAAAATTAGCTGCCATTTAAAAAAATGCCATTTAAACTCAGGCACAGAACTTGTTTCCTAAAGATTTCTAATTACATTATTTTTCTGCCACTCTTTGTTAAGGTCCATCATGAATGAGAAGTGGGACTCCAACTCTTCAGAAAACTGGACTCATATCTGGCATGTCACTAACACAAACCATGATCTGGACTCGGATATTAATATCACCTACGTGAATTACTATCTTCACCAGCCTCAAGTTGCGGCAATCTTCATTATCTCCTACTTTCTGATCTTCTTCCTGTGTATGGTGGGAAATACAGTGGTCTGCTTTATTGTAACGAGGAACAAACATATGCACACAGTCACTAATCTCTTCATCTTGAACCTGGCAATTAGTGATTTACTAGTTGGAATATTCTGTATGCCCATAACATTGCTGGACAATATTATAGCAGGTATGTTGACTTGTATGCAATGCAAAGGTAACATGATACAGTGGTAGTCCCATTTTCCTGCAAGTATTGAAGGAGTGTTCAACGTTTATGGTGTTCCCAACATTCTTCCAGATGCTAGTCCCCCAGGTGGACTTTACAATGGGGGTGGATAGATAATAGGAAAAAATGCAAGTAGAGTGTTCACTCAGAGTCATCAAAGAATGAGACCAAGTACTTCTTATCCGAGTTTTTAATTTTCTCAGTTTAGTTCAAGCTACCCTGTCTCCCCAAAAATAAGACAGTGTCTTATATTAATTTTTGCTCCTAAAGATGTGCTAGGTCTTATTTTCAGGGGATGTCTTATTTTTCATGAAGAAGAATACAGTGCACATTTATTGTTGAACAAAAAAAGGAAATTTATTACCTGTATACAGTGCGGTAGTAGTTGTCATCACAAACCAGCATAACCAGACAAACTGTGGCTCCTACAGTATCAAGAATTTCTTGTTACTGCCATTATTTCCATGTACAACAATCTATGGTACATTTACTCGCACTTCCTGTCTGCTCCGGCTGCGCTGCGGCCAACAGTGAGCTGCGCAGCAGCGCCCGCCACTAAGGTCCAGAGTCCAGAGTTACAGTAGCTTCGGGGGGGCCTTATGTTCCGGGAGGTCTTGTTTACGGGGGGATGCCTTATATTTCAGCAAGAGACAAGACTGTAAGTAGGCCTTATTTTCAGGGGATGTCTTACTTTCAGGAAAACACGGTAGCTATAGGATAGTAGAAATAACAGTCAGCATATTGTAGATTATAAAGCTCCCCCCCCCCAATTTTTTAAAATCACTGCCATTGGGTGTATTTTGACTCATAAAAAATAATAGAACTGTCCCTGTGGGTTTCCAAGACTGAACATTTTTACATGAACAGAAAACCTCATCTTTCTCCCTCAGAGCAGCTAGTGGATTTGACCTGCAGACCTTGTAATTAGCATCATAATACCTGACAGTGCTACCAAGGCTCCAAAGAACTGGTAAATCAGATCTCAACTGATGCCTGTCTTCACTCTAACATAAATACTAATTTAAGACCTCCTGTGACCAGCTAAATGAGCCTTGGTTGCACAGTGGTTAGGCGTTGGCTTGCTAACAGAAAAGTCTGTGATTGGAAGTCACCAGCCACTCCATTGGCTAAAGATAAAGCAGTTTGTTTCTGTAGACTTACAGCCTTGAAAACCATCACTATGAGTCAGAATCAACTAGACCACAGTGGGTTTGCTTTGCCGTGGGAACTAGGAAACTTTCCCAGTGGGTTTTGAGAAAAATAGAGGAGCAATTTCAATAATTTCTTCACAGAAACTGTTGTTTGTCAGTAGTAATTCACATGTATATATAAAATAAGTAATTTAACATTGAAATTTATTAAGCGATTTTGAATATTCCTGAGCCATTATTATCTCTTGCTCCTGTAGAGTCGGTTTTGTCTCATAGGGAACCTATGTGTGCAGAACAGAAGAGTTTTTCAAGAGCTGAGACTTTTGAAAGCAGATGACCAGTCTTGTTTTCTGAGGCTCCTCTGGATGACGGAGAACGGCCAAGCGTTCTGCTCATCGTCAAATTCAATGGTGTCTGACCCCCAGGAACTCTTCCTTACTACCCGGTGTGGCATTCTGTGCTGCGGCAATTCGGTTACAGTGTCTTCTGGTTAATTAATGGACCCAAGGCTGAAGCACCCCAATTCCATCTAAAGAAAGATGAATATTAGTATATTGATGATATAGCCAGAGAATCAAAATGAGCTATATCATGTGCTATTTTCATAGAATTCAAAATTAGCTTATTGAAGAAAAAGAAAAGAAGCTTCTCTTTGGAGGTTACCTGTTTTCCTTCCCTCTTCTGGAATGGGGCCCAGAGTTCAGGGGCCTGTCCTTTCACTATGTGTTGAATAGAATCTGTTTAAATCTTTGGTTGTGTGATGCTATCATTTAAAACCCAAATCTGTCAAGAATGTCCATTCTCAAGATAGTGTCTTAGTTACAAAAAATGTTGAAAAAATGGATATAACTCACACGATTGCTCTCAAGAAACTTAGTTTGCCAAGTAAAAACATCCTCACGCTTTGCTCCAGTAAATAGTCTTAATTAAATTATGATTATTTTTAATTTTTCTTATACATTACCTCTTCCTCTCTTTGATTTCCATTCCCAAGTGGTGGCCACTTTCAGTTCTTTGTACCATTTTATTTATTTATTATTTGAGAGGGGAGTTACTTCCATATTGCTAAATCAATCACGTTTTTAATGTTATGTTTTGTCTTAAAATTATGTAAATTTAATTCTTACACTCCTCTCCCAGGACATTACACACAAATTGATATGCCCCCCCTTAATTTTACCTCCTCTCCTCTTAACCGAATTATATCATAGCTCTTTGTTAAATCAATATTCAGAATATACACTATGTGACCATATGTATCTTACCCTTTGTTAATCGTGCAGAATACTTTGATTTCAATTTCTCTGTAATAATTTCCCCTCACCTTAGGTTCAATAAGGGCCACATATTTTGATTTGTTTAGGTTGGGTGTGTATTTATGACTAATGTATCCCCATATTCTCTTCTAGGAATGTTAATATCTTGTCAACATCTTCAAACATAACAGGTAACATGCCAATTGCATCTTTTCCTTGGAGCTGCGCGTCCACATTTCCTGTTCTCCCGTTCTTATCTGGACACAATGGCCTCCAGGCCTGAAGCTCAACTAGGGTTCTGGAATGTCCTTTTCACAGAAATGCCAGCATTTCCCTTCGCTTCTTTGGGATCAATCTCTTGCCTTTAGATGCCATGTCTTCCTCTTTCTTCACGTATCCTTTTATTAACCCCTTGATAAACAGTGAACTAAAACAGGAATGCTTCTGATCTTATCTTTCTTTAACTATTTATCCTATTTTCCCATTTGATTGTAGTTAATGTGATCAGTCACTAGTCGATAGTGGTTCAAGTCCACTCAGAGATACACAGGACGATCTGGTGACCTACTTCTGAAAAATCAGCCCTGAAAACGCTATGGAATGCAACCCTACTCTAACACACATGGGCTCACCTTAATTCAGAATTGGCTTGATGGAAATTTCTTTAAATATGAAATTCTAAGTTGGAAATATCTTCCCCCCAATATGAAATGGATTGTTCTCTGGCTACTTCTGAAAACCTGATGTCATTTTATTCTTGCTTCTTTCACTAATGGTTTGCATTTGGTTTTTTAGTGAAAATTTTAGGGTCTCTCTTTGTACCAGAGTTTTAAATTACCTGGAAATGTGTCTCATAGTAAGGTTTTCTCTTTTTGCTTTCAATTATTATACGAGACACAAAATGAGCCTGTTAAATAAAATTTTTTTTTTCAATCCTGGAAATTTTAAAAAATAGTTTTATTTTCTTCAACTCTAACTCCTTAGATATTGAAGTTTCCATGTGGCCCATTTTCTCATCTTCTTTCCTTTATTCTTTGCCTCTTGTACTTTCAAAGAGAATCCGAGTACTGTTTCTTCCAATTTTCATGTTGAGCTCTTTATGTCTATGATTTTAAATCCTGAAAGCTACTTTGTCTTCTACAAAGCCCTTTTACTGTCATGTTCATGCATCATAGATAAAATTTACTATATTCCTGAAGTTATCACTGATTATATTTGTTGCTTTTCCTTTCTTATTTATTCAGCTCACATAGTTTTTCTCTCAACATTGTTTTGTCTTACTGGTCTTATTCTCTTTCTTTTTTTACCTTTGCTGTTTCTCTAAGTGGACTGCTACCTGACTGCCTCTGTTTCAGAATAAGGCACTTGTTGATGGTTTGGAAGGCCTGTGTGCACGAGTGAGGTAAAGGCCACTCTCAGCTTTGTCAGTCAGGCCCATTCCTGGGAAACCACCCCCCCCCCTAAATGTGTAGATCAAAGTTCTTAAACAAATCCGTTTCCCCCAGAAAATAACCTTTCATCTATGGTCAAATGATGCAAGAGTAGCTGCCACAATCTGGATCTGAGTTTGTCTTGGGTTGTATTTCAGATGTACTTAGATCATTTATGTGTATTTGAAATATTTTGTTATATATTATTTTATTTGGAACAAAAACTAAATTAAACGATTTTTTTATTAAAACAAATGGAAGAATATGAGAAATATTTGTCATCTATTTGTGGAAAATTCAAATTGCTATTATTGTAGGAGTTTTGTTATTTTCCATGCAGTGTGTGTATATTTTATACATATTTATATATACCTTATTTAATATATTTTATATCTTATATATTTTGTACATATGGTTATATTCATATCATTATATTTATCTTTCTTTTATTTAAAGTATATTTTATAAATTTTATTGTACAAATTTTGTTACATTCCATACTTTAAATACACACATGTGCATGCGTGTATCTTTATTTGATCCCTCCGCATCACTGTGTCACCCACTGCACCTTTGGGCTCAGAGTCCAGATTCCTCCTGCTTATACCTCCTCAGAGGCTCAATCTCTCTTCTTATGACAACATAGAAGGAGAAACTACGGCTGTCTAATGGCATTTATAGAGAATTCCTACCAACCATCTTCTTTTCCCAACTTCCCATTCTCTTATGTAGTGACTGCCTTACTCTTGTCTTCCTCATAAGCTGGCTAACTCTATTAACACACTTATTTATTCATCTACTAAAGAGTTACAGGCTCAAAAACTCACAGAGGCAGTTCTATCTGTGTCTCACAGGGTCGCTATGGGTCTATCTGTGTCTCCCAGGGTCGCTAGGGGTCTATCTGTGTCTCCCAGGGTCGCTAGGGGTCTATCTGTGTCTCCCAGGGTCGCTAGGGGTCAGCATCGACTTGATGGGAGTGAGTTGGCTCTTGGTTTGAACCATCCTGTTTTCTTTACCCATGTGGATATATGCTCTTTTATCCCTGCACTATGATTTTATCAAATTTTGGAGACAGACAAGATAATTTATATGCATGTGATCAACCAAATGGTTACACAAACTATTCTTTGCATGTCTGTTGCAAAACAAAACAAAGATACAATAGCCGCCAAACAATTTTTAGTAATGTAAAGACAGGGACTCTGTCTCATTTTATTCACATTCAGTAGCATCCCTAAAGCATCTGTGTTCACTTGTTCTAGATAGATATTGTAATTTTACTTTAGATGCTCTTGGATACATTCATAAGTTTAGAATATTTTGAATTAAATAAGAATATTTTCATTTAGAGAATTACTTAACAGGATATTTTCTAAAAGATAAAATTTTAAATTGTGAGAAACATTTAGCATTTACTTTTGAGGAAAAGGGATATTTGTTATTGTAGAAATTAGGTTACTTCACTATACTAGTCCAAGGGTATTTAGAATGTACTGCTACAATAATGTCATTGACTCTTTTATAGGTTTTTTTAGTAATTAATGTTTAGTTAGGAAATGATTTACATGATAAGTTATGTTCATGCAATGTGATATTTATCCTAGGAATACTTCTGAGGTAAATTTTTACATTACATATAAGTAAGCATTGAGCTTATTCTCTGTGTAATTTCTGATTGCTTATAATTTATGGATGCATCCTCAAATTAAAATAATGTACAACTGTTGCACTCCCTGAAATATCATTTTTGTATAATGTTAATGGTATGACTCTGATGCCACATTTTCTGGTTTCAAATCATTAGCCTGCTACAAACTTACCACATGGCAAAATATGTAATATCTGTGTGGCTGCTGCCTTTCCTATATTTTAAGAAGAATAGAATATACTTCAAAACCTGTTGGCTCTTAGCTATGCTAAAAGACAGGAACTACTTCTTACAGTGCTGAGCATCTATTTTATAAGTATTGACATTCTCTTAGTCATATACTATCAGTTTACTGAAAAACAAAATTTTGTGATATAACTGAAATTTGTGGAAAATATAATGATTGCTCCCTGATTGTAATTTAGAAAAAGTAGGCTAATCTTTATGTCACACTTTTCTGTTCATATCTTTGTTGAAATAGAAAATATGATATTTTCACAGAATGATTGTTCCATTTCCCTTTCAGGATGGCCATTTGGAAATACGATGTGCAAGATGAGTGGCTTGGTCCAGGGAATATCAGTGGCTGCCTCGGTCTTCACATTAGTTGCAATAGCTGTAGATAGGTAAGTCAGTGCCAAACTCTGAATCGGGAGAAATGGACATGTCTGAGACTAATATATCTAATCAGAGAAAAATCTACAGTCATATATATCTGCTCACAATGAATCCATTTTTACTATCCCATTAAAAACAAGGTATGAGCTTTCCAAATTTAATTACTAGTAATACAAAGCTATGGAATTTTTATATTTCATTATAAATACCTGTATATAGCACAGTTTTAGACACTAGAATTTAGAATTTTCTATGATGAAAATATGATACTGTTTCAATGCTATCCATAAAGTTTTCAAAGACAATTTCTTCTGAAGTGAACAGCCTATTCCTTTTTCAAATGCTCTTACATGAGTTCAAGTTGAAGTTGAAGAAAGTTCAAAGAAGTTCACGAGAGCAGAACTATGACCTTGAGGATATTCCACCTGAATTTCAAGAACAGATTTGACACAATGAACGCTATGGACTGACGGCCTGATGAGCTGTGGGGAGACGTCAAGAACATCAGACATGAAAGACGGTGAAGGTCATCAAAATACAAGAAAAGAGAAAAGATCAAAGTGCATGGCAGAAGAGACTCTGAAATGGTCTCAATCATAGAACATCTAAGGCAAATGGAAGAAAGGATGAAATCAAAGTATTGAACAGAAAATTTCAAAAGGCAGCTCAAGGGAACAAAGTCAAATATTAAAATAAAATATGCAAAGACTTGGAGTTAGAAAATCAAAAGGGAAGAACATGCTCAGCATATCTTACATTGAAAGAACAGAGGAAAAAATGCAATCCTTAAGTTTCAATACTGAAGCATTCTTAGATCAAAATATTAAATAATGCAGGAAGCATTTTTAAAAGGTGGAAAGAATACACAGTCACTATCCTAAAAAGAACGAGTCAACATTCAACCGTTTCAAGATTGCGTGTGGGCGAGAACTAATGTAGCTAAAGGAAGACGTTGAAGCCCCTCTGAAGGCAAGAACAAGGCTTCGGGTGTTGGTGGAATAGCAACTGTGGTGGTTACATAATTTCAAGTCAACTTGAAGTGTAGAGGTGGGGTCTAGCCTGTCAATCAGATGGCAGCTTGATGACCTCATTTGGAGGTGCCACCGATATAAATGGCTCTCTGGAGGTGTGCCTCTCTCTCTCTTTGCTTCACCTTCCTGTTGAAGAGCCACTTCGAGCCAGGCTAATGGCAGCCAGAGCCCTGGAGATGTCTCCACTGCCATTGAATCTATAGGACTTTGCACCCACTGTGACCTTGAATTTTGCATCATTGTGAGTGGCAGTATGAGTCTGAAGAGGGATTTATGGATTCGTTAGTATTGGACTTAAGGACTTGATCTGGACTGGGTTAGGGTATTTGCTTGATATATCATTATTTATTGATATAAAGCTCTCTCTTACACATATATAAGTGTCTGTGGATTTGTTTCTCTAGTCAACTCAGTCTAACACAGCACTTCAAGTGTTTCAGCAGACTGATAAAACACTTGAAGTACTTGTCTATGCCAAGAAATTCAGAAGACAGCTACTTGGTCAACACACTGGAAGAGATCTGTGCCCATTCCAAAGAAAGATGATCTAGTGAATGCTCAACTTACAAAACAGTACCATTGATATCACCTGCAAGTAATATTTTGTTGAAGATCATCCAATAATGGTTGCAAAAGTGCATTGACAGGAAGCTGAGAGAGGATCAGGCCAGACTCTGAAGAGGAAATGGAACACAGGATATCATTGGTGATGTCAGATGCCTCTTAGCTGAAAAGAGAGAATACCTGAAAGATGTTTATTTGTGTTTTCCTGAATATCCTAAGGTATTCAATGGTGTGGGCCAGAACCAACTCGGGGGAGCCTTTCGAAGAATGAGAATTTGAGAGCGCTTCATTTTGTTCCTGTAGACCCTGCACGTGGATCCAGAAGCAGTTGGGCTAACAGAGCAAGGGAATGCTGCATTATTTAAAATGAAGAAAAGTGTGCTTCAGGATTGTATCATCCCATCACAAGTATTCAATATGTATGCTGAGCACCAAACCAGGAAAACTGAGTTATATGAAGAAGTATGTGGCATCAGGATTGGAGGAAGGGGTATTAACAACTGTGATATATAGATGATGCAGCCTTGCTTGCTGAAAATGAAGAGGACTTGAAGCACATTTGCTGATGAAAATAAAAAATTGTAGCCTTCAGCATGGATTAATTAACTTGATGTAAAGAAAAGAAAAATTCTCACAACTGGACCAATAGGTAACATCATGAAATGGAGAAAAGATTGAAGTTTTTAAAGATTGTTTCTTACGTGGATCCACAATCAGAGCTCATGGAAGCAGCAGTCAGGAGAACAAATTGAGGCATTGCCTTGGGTACATCAGCTGCACGAGACCTCTTCAGGGTACTGAAATTCAAAGATGTTGCTTTGAAGACTAATATGTGTCTGACCAAAACTATGGCATTTTCCTATTGCCTCATATGCATATGACAGTTGGGCATTGAATAAGGAAGGCAGAAGAAGGATTTTTGCTTTTGAATGATGGTGCTGGAGAAGAATATTGAAAGTACCATGGACAGCTAAGAGAAAAAACAAATCTGTCTAGGGATAAGTACAGCCAGAATACTCCATAGAGTATTGGCCTGGCTCATGTACTTTGGACATGCTATCATGTCCAGTCTTGCCCAGAAGCAATCGGCCCCTGGAGAAGGATGTCATACTTGGTAAAGCAGAGAGGCAGGGAAATAGAGGAAGACCCTCAACAAGGTGAACTGACACGGTGGTTGCAGCAGTGGGCTCAAATCTAAGCACAAATGTGAGGATGGCGCAGGACCGGGTGGTATTTTGTCCTGTTGTACATAGCGTCTCTGTTGAGTCAGAATTAACTGGATGGCACCTAACAACAACAATAGTAAAAATACAAAAGTGATGATATAATACTGAAATGTCCTGAATTTAAGATTAAAATCCATACATTCATTTATTCGCATGTTTGAGGATTTAGGATATGCTGGGCATATGGCTGGATTATGACACATGCAAATAAATCAGACACCTCTGTGGCTTGATTTTCAAATACGTAATAAGCAACTTTCTGAGGTGAGCAATAAATACTAGGAAAGGACTTTCACTGTTTCAGGGTGCAATGGATTATGCATCGAGCTGCTAACTGTAAAGTCTGCACTTTGAAACAGCCAGATGCTCCTAGGGAGAAAGATGAGGCTTTCTACTCCTGTAAAGGGTTACAGTCTTGGAAACCCACAATGACAGTTTGACTTTGTTCGATAGGGTCACTATGATTCAGGATTGACTCAATGACTGTGAATTTTTGAGTGAGTTTACTGATCTGCATTCTAACAAAGTAAAAAAGAATGAAATGTCTAAGTAAACTGAGCATATCTATTGGGTGTCTAGTACTGTAAAGTTGTTAAAAAGCGATAACTAGGTCATCACACACATATATCAATATTTAAATCTCAAATGCATAAAATATTTAGAAAGAAGGTTCATACTGGTGCAAACAGTATGGTGCCACTACGTAAAATTTAAAACATTTTGGTACAGACTTGTAGTGTAAAGCATACAAGCATGGACATGAGGGACACATAATGCCAAGATGTCTGGCAGAGAGAAAGATAATGGGATTAAAAAATCTACCAAGAGAGATCAATTGTGTGTACAATGTCCTACTATTTTAATATGAAGACATGATCAATAATTAACTTTCAACATTTGTTAAATGACATAATGTCCTCCTTTTTTTATATGAAAAATTGTTAAATGACTAGCAGCACTTGTTAAACAACTTAGCAGCAATTATATTTTGTTCCTAATTTTCTGTATGATTGAAATATTAAATAAGTGAGTAACAGTAAGTGAGCATAAGGATCATTTTTCTCTTTTCATGAAATGTAAAATATTCAGAAGAGTATTATTGTTTAAATTGGGTTTTTAAAATTTTTTTTAATCATTTTATTCGGGGCTCGTACAGCTCATATCACAATCCATCCATCCATCCATCCGTCCATTGTGTCAAGCCCATCTGTATATTTGTTGCAATCAACATTTTCAAAACATTTTCTTTCTACTTGAGCCCTTGGTATCAGCTTCTCATTTTTCCCTTCCCTCTCTACCCTCCCTCCCTTAAAACCCTTGATAATTTATAAATTATTAATAGTTTTTCATGTCTTACACTGACTTTTCTGTTGTCCATCTACCTGGGAGGGGGTTATAGGTAGATCATTGTGAACAGTTCCCCCATTCTCCCCCGACCTTACTCTCACCCTCCTGGTATGGCTATTCTCAATATTGGTCCTGAAGGGGTTATCTGTCCTGGATTCTCTGTGTTTCCAGCTGTTATCTGTACCTGTGTACATGCTCTGGTCTAGCAAATTTGTAAGATAGAATTGGGGTCTTATTAGTAGGGGGGAGGAAGCATTAAAGAACTAGAGGAAAGTTGTATATTTCATAGCTGCTGTACTACACCCTGACTGGCTTGTCTCCTCCCAGAGACCCTTCTGTAAGAGGATGTCCAGTTTCCTACAGATGGGCTTTGATTTTCCAGTCCGCACTACCCCTCATTCACAATGATATGATTTTTTGTTCTTGGTCTTTCATACCTGGTACCTGATCCCATCGACACCTGATGATCCCACAGGCTGGTTTACTTCTTCCATATGGGCTTCTGTTGCTTCTGAGCACATATGTACATGCCTGTATTTAGACCACTATAAATGTCCTTTACCTCGTAGTTTTTTCCTCTGTTTCCTTTTACTTTCTTCTTGACCCACTATCATGCTCAGCCTTCATTTGGGTTTCAGTAATTCCTCTCGGTTACATTACCCTAGATCAAGCCCTCCCAGACCTGCTTCACCGTTCTCACCATTGATTTTAGATCACTTGTTCCATTGTCCCTGGGTTTGTTAACACTCATTTCCTTTCTCCCACCTCTCCCTCTCCTGTGTCTCCCTGGAACCATCAGCCCAGTTGTTTTCTCCTCCGGATTGTTTCTCCAGCCTATCT